GGAAAACCCATCTGGATAACAGCAGACTGACTGCTTGTAAAATGTACGACAGGTCTGGACCACACGTGAATTTTGTTAGTTTCTGAAAAAAAAAACCTAGAATACGAAAACATTGGTGAATGCCACAAATTCTCCTAAATCACTCGTACGCACAACTTAAGAACAAATCTGTGCGTACGAACGGTTTTTGCATGAGGCCCATTGTTCTCTTTGATGGGAGCAGATCTTTACAAGTCGTTTGTTTCATAGAACCATTCAAAACAGCCGTTCAGTTTTAAACTTGTTATATCATCTTGTCAGGAGATACGTGGATGGACCCATGTGTTTTTATCAAGATGAACCTTCCTCCCTCTTTCCCCCTGAGCTGCTGTCCTCCCCTCTGTCTGAAAAAGTGAAGGAGGAGTGATTGTCTCTGTTCCACAATAAATGAACACAAGTTTGAAATAACTTGAAGAAAAAYTTCCTTGCCGAAATCTTCTTGGGAGTACGGCTAAAGTGATTCTGAGTACCATCCATGGTACTTGTGCAACAGTTTGCACATAAACCCAAACCATGTGTGAATAAATGTGTACTTTTCCCAAATAAATCTCATATTATATACTAAATCTGCATAGAATAAAAGCTCAGCATTCGTTGAAGTAATGCATATCACCCGCCACATTTCTCACAACAGTGTTAAACAAAAAATAAGCTATTGTTAAAAATATTCCTGCTTCAGTCAAACCTTTTAAAAACAGCAGAATTTAATAATACCTTACATGATCTGAATAAGTTGTTTTTTAACGAATGTGTTGTGGTGGGCAAAAATCAGAGTCCGAATCAGATTTATTGGCCAAGCAGTTAACACACAAAGAATTAGTTTCCTGCTGTTGATGTCTCATCCTGCTCCTTTTGAAACATTATTAATTACCACATTGCGCTATGCATCTTTTGTCCAAATTCCTATTATGTTGTGTTTTAAACAAATAAGTAAGTTTACAGCAAGTTATCTYTATGGATGTTCAGGGCTACCTTCAAGTAAATCCAATGAAAGCTAATCAGTTGTTCAAGATAGGTGGAAATAAATGCCAACAAGTGAATTTGGCCATGCAAACCTAAATATGTCTGCAGATGTTTGGCTTTTACAATGAAGTCCAATGACAAGAACTTGCAAAAGACGTCATCACAGCTGGAACAAAAATGATTTATGTCCTAAAGCTAAAAAAGTATAAGAAACGTTTATTTCTGTATTTAAATAGCTCCTATATTTTAAAAATAAAGAAGTTACTTTAATTCTTCAATCAAACACCAGTCAAACACAGGTTTGACTGTGGCTTGTGTCAGAGAGCACCACAGTCTTGCGAAATGTCCCTTCAGCAGGGTTTACAACTCGACCTCCTTYATGTCCGGACTGTCTGCAGGCAAACACAGACTTTGATGACTTCTCGTCCTTTTTTGACTGCTCGGCGTCAACCACAGTGATGTACAGTCAACATAAAAAGTACTATGAAACACTCACCTGGTGCTGCAGGATAGTTTGCTGCACTACCCGAGCATAGTTGTCCAGTTTAACGCCAGAGTTGCTCCTGCTTCTCATGTTGTTTCACTTCAGTCGGCTCATCAAAGAGAAGACGGGGAAAAAAACGACTCAAATCCTCGCCAAGACAGTCATTTCTGCTACGATTCTTTTAAAYGGCTTAAAGGCCGGAGCGAAAAGTCGCTTTGCAGACAGACACAAAGGAAACAAGCCTGGCTGTGAGGTAAAAACAGTAGCTCTGCGAGCGGAGGAGGCGGAGYAGAAGACGCACGCGACGGTTTCTGCTGGACACCGGAAGCAGCAACTACACCGGTGTTGTGTCGAAAGAAGTACCCCTGTTAAAAAAATAAACCCCACATCCGTCGTAATAAGATCATTTATACTGTTCACTAGTGAGAATGAGAAGTGACAGGAGCAGACTACGTTCATAAAAACAGCCTAWATTAATTTTAGACTTTGTGTAATTTTGTGGCTGCAACACACGCGCACGTACACTGACCCCATCCATCATTGTTYCCTTTGCAGTCATAAAACTCTTCCTCAAATTTAGAATCTAAGTTAAGTATGTTGTAAAATAATGGTATGTTTAAAGCCACAATAAATTAGAATCACTTTACTTTAGTTCAGTTTATTTATACCACTAACTCACAGCAAAACTCATCTCAAGTGTACAAAGGAACAAGAATTCATATTCATAAATCCAAACTCTGTCTTAAATAGATCCAGATTGAAATACAAATAAAATAAAAATATTAATGAATAAATACACTGTGGCCTACTTTTGATTGTTCATAGAGAGTTTTATTAGCTTAACTGAAATAATCAGGTTTAATTTAATTTAAATTAATTAATTTAATTTTCCATATATATTAGCCCATTGATATGTATTACAATAATAGCAGTAATAATTAATAATAGTAATAATTAATAGTAATGCAGATTCATGTTTGCCTATCTGTAATTGTTGAACAATAATAACTGAACAAATTATCAGTTGTTTCTTCATATTTTTCCAATTTTTTTAAAATTCTTCCTCGATCAAGGGTTTAATAACAGAATAATCAAAGTTTTTATATTGTTGTTAAATGTTTTTAAAAACAGCAATACGGAAATAAAATCTTATTTTAAAAAATTCCGCTAATCGACTACAAGAAATCCCAGAATGCACCGCGGTTTGGTCCGTTTCTGAATTAAAACCTCTTCCGCGTGAGGAACCACTTTGACGGGTGGAGTTCTCTCATTTCCATGTAGGAACAATATCTCATACTTCTTGATTTTAAAGCAAATAAAACATCCTCAAAAATAAACATTTATTTATCTAAAAAAACGTTTGTTTGTTTTTGCTACGTAAGAGTTAGGAGAGTTGAAGTGGTTAGGTTCCTGAGTGCTGGGGGGAATGTTGACGGTGTAACACCTGTTTCGAGTCGAGACTTGTCCTCATCTCTTTCCTTTAGCTCCAGCTCTGAATAGATTTTATTTTTTGTTCGAGTCAAATGAGTAGCAGAGACAACAGTGAGGATGAAAGCKGCATTACACGGAAAGTCGCCTATGTGTACAGCCCGGAGTACATCCAGACCTGCGATACTTTATCCAAAGTCCCAAACMGGGTGAGAAGTATTAGATTCCTGTGTTCATTGAAGACTTTTCAATTGAGTTATCTAAAGATAAACTGCGTTTGTTTAATGTTATATATCATTTCCAGGCTAGTATGGTCCATTCACTGATAGAAGCTTATGGGCTGCTTCAACACATGAGGTGAGTTTTTAGCGTTTTAGGCTGGAAACTTTCCAGAAGTAGAAAATGATTTAATATTTTTACAACATCCAAACAATACACTAATATTAACATTCAAATCCAGAATCTGTTTTTGGTGCTTTTGCTTACAGGATAATTTATATTTTCACTTGTATCCAGAAACTATGTTTTGAACATAATTTTGTTATTCCACCTCATACAAACTATTCTAATTTGCTCTTAATTCCTTAGTTACAAACAAACAAACAAACAAACAAACAAATAAATAAAAATGCAAAACACATCCACTTCTGCACTTTGTAAAGCAACAACACACACTACACATATGTTTATTGCTATAAAACAATTTCTGATCCATATGCTCTCGGGTATCTTTGAAAAATCATAAAATTTTGCAAGAATATATTTCATTTTCACAGTATTTGTATGTGCTATTCACTTTTCGTGACCAGTCATGGCACAGAAACTGTTTTGAGGAAAATCAAGATCCAGTCGTTGCTTGAAAAAGTTGGATCTCACTGTTGCCTTCAGTTCTTGTTATCTCAATATCTTAATTTAAAGATTCAGTTTGTTTAACCTTTCTGGATCTCAATTGGTATTTTTTAATGTTTACCAGAATAATTTTCATTCACCAGTGATTGTTTTTTAATTGGCGGGAAGTAAACCTCCTCTGTGGAGTTCCACAAGGCTCARTTCTTGGTCCCTTKCTTTTGAAGTTKATCATGCTCCTATAKTGTTCTAACAAATATYACAGCATGTTGTGTCATTTAAATACAGATCATGCACAGTTGTCAAAAGATCTCAGTTATGTCATTAAACTGTTTTAATAGTTCTAAAGTTTTGAAAGTCCAGAAAGTTTTACAATTAACAAAAGGCAAATCTGACATGTTTATAGTTGGAAATAACATAAAACAGAAAGAATTGTTTTCACTCTGTATCCGTTCCGTTAAGTCGCAGCAAACAACCATCCGTCATCGACATCTGCTTTTTCTCTACTGGGTCTTCTCCAGTAGTAACTGGTGCAAGACGGGACACCCGGGACAGGCTTTCAGTCCATCMCAGAGCTACATTAGAGACAAACAACCATTCACACTGTCATTCACGCRTGGGGAGATCATGCAAACTCCACTCGGAAAGCTCCCAGGCCAGGATGTGATCTTGCGACCTGCTTGCTGAGAGGCAGCAACTCCAGTACCAACTGAGCCACCGTGCACAATGAACACGTCAGAAAAAAATAATGTGGACAGTCACACAGCAGTGTAATAACTTATTACAGCCCTCTAGAATCCTATTAAAAGTCAAGCAGAARAAAAAGCTGTTTCACAAACTGACTTAGACGATATGGCTTGTTGAGAGCTGACTGCTGTCCTCATTTGTGTTTTAGTCACTCAACTGTCTCCTGCTTTAGCTAAAAAAATGCTTTCAAATGTTCCTAATGGCTTAAAAGGACTTAAAGAGGTCATAGCCAAAATCCATTTTTTAGCCGTTAAATACATTTTGCTTTGTACGTGGAGTTTCTAGAGTGGAGAAAAGTTTAATTTAGTCATTCACATGTGATTCAAATGGTTTCATTATACCTCGACAAAACTAGTTCCCTTTGTTTCTATCTGCAATCTTCATTTATTTTATTTATTCATATTTTCAGGTGAACTAGCAGAGTTACCTCCTTTTAAATCCACGCCTTGCAGCAGTATATTCAGCAGTTCAAACAGTCTTTTACTCATCTAGGCCGTTTTCAGGAAAATAAGCCTAATGCAGAGTTTCGTGTTGTTTTTCTGCAGCGTTGTGAAACCTCATGCAGCCTCGATGGAGGAAATGGCCAAGTTCCACACAGACTCGTACCTGGAGCACCTGCACAAAATCAGCCAGGATGGCGACAACGACGACCCCCAGTCAGCTGATTATGGYCTTGGTGATGAACGCGAACTACAACTTCTAACTTTTTTTCTTTTTCTTTTTTTTTGTGTGGGGTCTTTTTGTTTTAGTCTAAAACGATTCTTTATATTGTGATTAATTTAACTTTGTTTTGCCTTCCTATTTCTAAAACGCTTTGAAATAAGAGTTGAAAGAACGGCACAAACTAAATGTTTTCTCCTCTGACCACTTGAGGTATTTGGGACGTTAGGTTTATTAGTGTTCATTAAAAACACATTTTACYACTCATTTATGTTCACCACTGAGCTGATAAAGAATGTGCAGTGATAGAAATGGTGGGAGAGGAAAATACATGTCTCATTGTGGCCACCAGAGGACAACAGTGTTACACTTATTGAAAAATGTATAGCCCTAAATTACATGCTTTTCTTTATTTTTGTCTTCCAGCAACAATCTCTTTCTAAAACAATTACATTTTTTACTTTTTCTTACTTTATTTATTTTATGTTTTTGTTTGACTGTCTGAAAATCCACCTTTTATGATGTACATTTCCAGTTTTACTTTTCAAGCTCACCTTGTTTGTTTGGTTTTCCTTGAMCCGTTAATTATCTTTATTCATCGCTTTCACTTCTTTCCTCTATTATCATCAACTCGATCAGTTTTTCAACAACTATTCTCACTGGCACTTCCTCCTTTTGTGTTATACACCTCTTATCTTCTTCTAAAAACAAAGTTTGAAAAAGGTTTGACCACATTTTCCAGTAGTTCAGTTATTATAATTATACATTTCTTTGTATGTTTTGTTGCTTGYGCATACAGTAGTCATGGCAGCTATTCTGGACTCTAACAAACTTTAATGATCATTAGTCATTAGTCTTTGCTGTTTGCATCTCTCTTTCTACAGGTTATGACTGCCCGGTGGTGGAGGGCATATTTGACTAYGCAGCAGCAGTAGGGGGCGCTACAGTGACAGCAGCTCAGTGTCTGCTGGACCAGAAGTGTGAAGTGGCCATTAACTGGGCGGGAGGGTGGCACCATGCTAAAAAGTAAGATGATTGGGTTTATACATAAACATGAGCATTCAGAYGGGTTAAAGCTGTGTTTTTCCTCTCTGCATTATTATTGTCAGTCAGTGGTTGATTTCAGTCCTTTAGTGTCTGTTGAATAAATGAAAGGTTGCTGTTGAGTGAAAGTGTAGTTAGTTAAACCAATTTATTTTAGTTTGATGGGGAATGTTGCCTCATTCCTGTAAATACATCAAGCACGAACCTGATTTAAGGCACATATATATGACATATATATCAAATCAAAGTTGAGTTTTTGTGACAGTGTTTGTGCCGCACCTGTTAGGGGAGGGGTGATGTCACTAGCAGGTAGCTACACGCTGCTTTGTTTGTATGCAGCTGATACCGCTTTGCTTTTTGTCCGGAGTCTCATTGATGAATGAGGATAGAAGGTAGGTAGGGCTGGGCAATAAATCAATAATAATATACAGTATGTCACAATAGTCTCAACCTGTTGAGCAACATGCACAGTAGCAGTTTCATGTTTCGCCACCGTGCCTCRTAACGGCTGAAAAATAAAAAGAACGACGTGGAGCGAAAGGATAAAAYGAGTGCAACRGSTCGAGAAGAAATTTTGGATAAAAGACGAAAGGTCGTGTCACCAGTTTGGCGGTAATAATCAGCTTTTTTCTCTTGATCCTTATTGTGATTAAGTAAAACAAAAAACTAATCAATAATTATCAATATCGACTGATGAGAAACGATGAAATCATGATACATTTTTTTCGCCATATCTCCCAGCTCTAACAGAAGGATAGGATAGATACTTTTTTGACAGATTTGTATGAAATGCATGAGAAAGTATTTATTGGATGTACCTCCGTCCGTCCGTCCGTCCATCCATCCATCCATCCATCCATCCATCCATCCATCCATCCTCTACCACTTGTCCATAGTCAGGTCGCAGAGGCAACAGGTCCAGGAGCGAAACCCAGACATCCCATTTCCCAGTGACACTTTCCTGGGGGACATCAGGGTTTCCTCCAATGTATAATAGCCAATCCCTACTTGTCTCCTGCGCCAGGCCAAACATCATTTGTTTATTTAGTTTATTGAGTTTTGTTTTATTTTTTATTTTATTTTTTTGCAYCACCCGAGATTGAGTCAGCAGGATAAGTGGCTAGGACCTAGCATTAGCAATGCAGCACTGTGCTACCGCAGCATTAGAAACTATAYTCACTTAACCACCTTCAGCCTTATACGTTTTCTGGACTAAACCCTGGGATCCAGAGGCGTTCCCAGGCCAGAGAAGATACATCATCCCTCCAGCGAGTTCTGGGTCTTCCCCAGAGCCTCCTACCAATCGGACATGCCTGGAACACCCCTAAAGGGAGGTGCCCAGGAGCCATCCTAATCARATGAAACACCTCATCTGACTCCTTTCAATGCAGAGGAGCAGCGACTCTACTCTGAGCTCCTTCTCATCTCTAAGGCTGAGCCTGGCTGCCCTACGAAGGAAACTCATTTCGACCGCTTGTAGTCATGTTTTTGTTCTTTCAGTCATGATCCACTCCTCATGATCATAGGTGAGGGGTTGAACGTAGATAGACCAGTAAATCAAGAGAGAATTCTTCACCACAACTGACCGAAGCAACGCCCTCAATACTKAGGACAAGGTCCTAATCTGTCAATCCATCTCCTGATCTATTCTGATTGGATGTATCTCTACACCTAGTTATTATTTGGATCTAGCCTTAKTAAAGATGTACAAAAACATGTACAATAGGTTGCCTTCAGGCCCAGGCCGCCCTTGAAAAAGAGATCTGAGATCTCAATGGGACTTGCCTGGTTAAATAACAGTGAATGAATGAATGAAAAAAAAAAGATGTCTGTCGCAACTAATTGACTTTAAAAACACACAAAAAATGACTATAACTCTTAGCTCTAAAGCAGATGTGGTAAAAACGAAAACTTAAAGTCATTCACAACACATACTCTCACCTTATACTGTATCTAATGATTACTTTAGAGTAAATGTGTTGTTTCTATACAAAGCTAAGTTTCTGGATTTCAGTTTATGACAGCTGGTCCAAATATATATATTTTTAAAGAAAACAGACTAAAAATAAGAARAAGAACTGAAGCCGAAGCTGAGTAAAATATTTTTTATCTGCAACATGACATTAAAATTCTGGTCTTTATTGTAATAATTAAAGTCTGTTTGGTTTTTGTTTTATTTATTTATTTATTTTTTAGGGATGAGGCTTCGGGTTTCTGTTATGTGAACGATGCTGTGCTGGGAATCCTGAAGCTGAGGGAGAAATATGAGCGAGTGCTGTATGTGGACGTAGACCTGCATCACGGAGACGGTATGTTTTAAGCCGTCCTGTGGGTGGAGTCTAACTGCAAACAAACCCGAAGCTTTACCTGCCCTCTCTCACTGCAGGTGTTGAAGAGGCCTTCAGCTTCACATCAAAAGTTATGACGGTTTCTCTGCACAAGTTTTCTCCTGGTTTCTTTCCCGGTTTGTCCTTCCACRTAGTACAGCAATGATATTTTCTCAAAAAGCAATCTGACACAGGGTTGAACAYGTGTGTGTGTTTAGGCACAGGTGACCTTTGTGACACGGGGTTGGGGAAAGGCCGCTGGTAYGCTGTGAACGTCCCATTCGATGACGGCATCAGTGATGACAGATATTACCAAGTTTTTACCAGGTRCACACCTTCCTAAGATCAGTTTTTCTTTCTCTCTCACAATTCTATGATGCAGTATCAGCATTTTATTGCTGACTCATCTAACATGTATGTACTTTGCCATTGCTATGAGTCTGGAGTTTACTGGTTGAATGTTTTTTTCCTGGCCTGATGACTAGGGTTGGGTAAAAATATCGATTCATCAATGCATTGCTATTTCTTTCCGATTCAATATCGATTTAGAWAATCCTCTGATTTAGTTCTATCCCCTGGTCAGTTTATCATGTAGAACAAGTATTATTGTGCTACTTCTATTCAGATATTTTATTTCTCAAAAATCTTCATGTACAACCTCAATTTCAATGAAGGTGGGACGTTGTGTAAAATAAAAAAAAAAACAGTATACAATGATTTGCAAATCCTTTGTATGTAGTGCTGACCCATGTAGGCCTGTCACGATAGCTAATTTTACTGGACAAGAAATCGTCCCCTAAATTATTSWGATAAACAATAATATTGTTTGGAAACCTTTKTAAACACATCCCACACAATGTGTATGAAAGTTTAGCAAATTTACGTATGTTTTAAAAAAGTTACGAACTGACCAGAGATTGGGAAAACAACACACAASGACAGCTACTATAACTGTAACATTGCTTTCCACCTCTTCGATCCAAGCCAGTACAGCGATTAATCAATGTATTGCTTATCACAATGGACCTAGGCCAGGGGTGGGCAGTCCTGGTCCTCAAGGACCGCTGTCATGCATGTTTTACTTGTTCCTCTGATTCAACACACATGATTTAGTGATTGTCTTCCCTTCTGAAGTTCCCCCAAAGCWTGGTAATMAACCATTCATTCAAATCAAGTGTGTTGGAGCAGAGAAACCTCTAAAACTTGCAAGATAGTGGCCCTTAAGTCTCACCCCTGGCCCAGGCCATGCATGGATCACCTCTGGCAGACCACATCTGGGCCACCAAAAGGCCTTCATTCTTTGCAGTATCTGGGCCWCTAAAGGGCCTCCATTCTTTGCGGTGTCTAGGCCACCTAAGGGCCTCCACTCTTTGCGGTATCTGGGTCACCAAAGGGTCGCCATTCTTTGTGGTATSTGGGCCACAAAAGTGTCACCATTCTTTGCGATACCTGGGTCACCAAAGGGCCTTCATTCTTTGCGGTATGTGGGCCACTAAATGGCCTTCATTTTTTGCGGTATCTAGGCCACCGAAGGGTCACCATTCTTTGCGGTATCTGGGCCAATAAAGGACCTTCATTCTTTGCTGTTTCTGGGCCACTAAAGGGCCTCCATTTTTTGCGTTATCTGAGCCACCAAAAGGTCACCATTCTTTGCKGTATCTGGGCCACTAAAGGACCTTCATTCTTTGCTGTTTCTGGGCCACTAAAGGGCCTTCATTTTTGCGATATCTGGGCCACCAAAAGGTCAGAATTCTTTGCGGTATCTAGATAGAGTGTTAATGCWTTGTGTGGGCCATACCAAGATCAGAAAAAGTTAGCTATGTGGGTTGTTTTTAAATCTAAAAATTTAAGGTACCAATTTGGTACTAAATGAAACTGGAACATTTTGTTGCAAATCAAATCATCCAGTCTGAATTTGTTCCGCTGCCTTCCTGGTAATTAATTAAGTTAATAAGACAAGCAAGGAGGAACAGAGATGCCTAAATTAAACTCCTCCAGTCTGTGTCACTGAGATGTAGTCAGCACTAAAACAAAGTTATTTGATCTTATTAGTTTTGAGTGTTTAAAGAAAACAAGATTTTTGGAAAYGGTTGTTTGAGGAGTCATGTGTTCAACCAAAAGAGGTTATTTTTGGAGTCTGCAGATTGACTAATGGCTCTTACCAGAATTTTAATTTCCTTCAGGACTTGTTGAGGATACARCTCATAAATTTCTGTAATTGTGACTGAGTTTCAGAACTCAGTGATCTTTTCACACAATTAAACAGTGTAATGRTGTGAAATCAAGCAGTTTCTATAACCTTGTGGAAATGTGAGTGAMTTGAGAAGCTTTTTCTGCTATTTTTTTCTAACTATCCAAGTTGAATATAAACTAAATTTTAATCTTTAGTGATGACTGAAACTACGGTAGCTCTAGACTGAGGGTCTCTGACCTCTGTATAAAAAATGACTTTAAAGCTTGCTTGTGACCAATCCTGATGCCAATTGTTTTAGAAATCAGGGCAGCAAATCGCAGATTTACGAAGCTTATTTGTTTGAATGTTTTTGGCGTATAAATATAAAAATACAAAGTACCCGATTAAAAAAGAACAAAGCAAAACAATGACTAAAAGAACTTTGGGCCGATGGTTATAACCCTAATAACCCCAGTAGTTGGAAAATTGTAATTGATTAAAACACTTAGATTCTACAT